AGACCTTGCACAGCTATTCACTTCCAAGAGACAGGTTTGTAGAAGAGAACAAGAAGCAAGTAATTACAATTGTCAGCAACGCTTTATAGTTTTCTGGAATTTGTAACTAAGGTTGAGAAGAGGTCACTTTAAGCAGCAGCATAGTTACCGGAGATTTTATAAGGTGTGCTGCTTTGGGAAAAAAGACGTGCATCTGGCAAAATAGCCCCTCTGTAAATTGATATGACATTCTGTTTTTACTGTCATTGCCACCCGCTGATTTAAATGAAATGCAGGTTTTAATTCGTATAAGAGGAATAAGATATGTGAAAGGCACATGAACACCCCAGCCGTACAAGCAATTGGATCATGTTATTGCAATTAACATAGCAGTATTTGCAAGGGATTCTTTTTTTCAAAAGCAATTGTTTGTGATAATTTTATTTTTTTATGTGTTTGAAAGGTGGAAATGTTGGAGAATACTTCACATTAAATAACACTTCAGGAAAACTGCTGGTCACTCGTAGCTTAGACAGAGAAGACGTCAGCAATTTCACTCTTGTAATTGAGTGCCATGACCTAGGCAGTCCCTTGAGAAGCTCCACTGCACAGCTCTATCTAACGGTCTTGGATGAAAATGACCACAGCCCGATGTTTGCAAAGACCCACTATCAGATCTCCGTGAGAGAAGACCTAGAGGAAGGGTCAGCCATCCTGGACCTCTTTGCTTCTGACGAAGATGATGGCCTGAATGGTGAAGTTACGTACTCCCTTGTTGACACCACCTTTGGGGCTTTTGCTATCGACAGTGTGACGGGGTCTATAGTTACTACAAAGGCACTGGACCGGGAGACCAAATCCCAGTATATATTTAGGGCTGTGGCAAGTGACTGTAGCACCCATTTGCCAAGAAGCACCACTGTCACTGTTGTGGTGCACATTGATGATGTCAATGACAATGAGCCTGTTTTTTTGCAGAATCCTATCAGGGTCTTTGTGCCTGCTGAAACCCCTGCGAATGAGACAGTAGCCACTGTGATAGCAGAGGACATGGATCTGGGATCAAACGGAGCTGTTGTTTTTAGTTTGATGATAGCAGAAACTGTATTTCAGATCAATGCAAAAACAGGTGACATCATTCTTCAGGAGCCCTTGGCTTCCACGGACTTCAGTACCCAGCTGCTGGTGACAGCTTCAGATCAAGGTATCTCACCTCGAACAGCCACAGCTATGGTCATTATCTTTACAGCAGAACAAGAGGAGGAGATTTCATTCAGCCGTAGCCTGTATGAAGCAAGCGTGCCCGAGAACAGTGCAGCAGGTGGGCATAAAATCCAAATTTGTCTTCCTGTGGTTACCAATCTCCCCTTCTTTTGGAATGGTAATTGTAATGAATAGTATAGGGAAACTTCTTTGCCTGTGCAGCAGCAGGGAAGAGTTAATTTGGATGTAGCAAATATCAGTCTGCCCTTTTCCAGTGTACCAGCATGAAAAAGAAGCATGGGCTGTTAGTTGGAGGCATTGGCTCTTGAGTTTGCTGCCCATGTACTACAGTGATGCCACATTAAACAAAAATCTCCCTTGTTCAAAGGTGGTGTGTTTCCATCCCTCGGCTTCAGAAGCCCAAAGCATCAGTGGGTTCACTCTTTTAGCAAAATGACATTTATGATGGGTGGACAGCATTTACTTGTCTCAGTTGTCAGTGCACACAAGCTCAGATGAGATGTTTGGTGTGTACCAGTTGCAACATGACATTTCTTGTTTTTGCAAAACCCTTCATGAAGTGCAGTAGCTTTCAGAGATAGTCTAAAACCTTACAGAAGTTTTGGACTTTCCAGAAGAAGGAGAATGGGTGGTAGGGTGGGGTGAAGGGGAGAGAAGTTTGGAGGCTGTGGTACATTGTCACTTGGACAGGCTTCTGCAGTGTATCTCTACCTAGAGCCTGCGTTATTGAATGCTACCTGTAGACAAACCAGTTTCAATCACAAGGTGCTTGCAAATTTCTTTATTTTTGTTCCATATGATGATGAGAATTACTGCTCTACTTTTTATGATTCAGAGAATATTAGCAGTTATGCCTCTTGCCAATTAGATGTGGTAAGTACCTTTTCCTGCTTCAGAGGATGGGCTCATCCTAATGAGGGGCAGAAAGGAATGCCTTTCACATTTTTCTGCCCACAAATCCCACTGTATAATTGACCAGATGTATTTAGACATCTGACCTGTACTATATTCTTGATTCAAACACTGCCTCATGAGGTTCACCTTGAACAACTCATTTATCCTCTTTATAGTTCAAATTTCCCTTGGTAAAATGAAAGCAATATTCCTTTATATCCTAAGGATATTGTGAGTTAAGTGAATTCTTAGATCTTGAGTAACAGTCTATATATTTGATTAGGAATCGGCAAAAGAAATGTGTTGATGATTTTGGAAAACCAATCAATATTCTTGGGTAATTACAAGCAGAATTAGAGAATGAAGGGTGAAGATGGCTGTTGCAGTAATTACTACTGTTTACTCAGCCATTCCTTTCTCTCTGCCTGTTTGGGACTACAAGCCAAATTTTCAGCTGTGTGTTTTAAGATAAAGATAATGCTGTGGGTATTACTGATGTTTCAATTAACAGATAGAAAATAGGCAATACGGTGACATTTTTTATTTTTAATTAAGTGACTTTTTTTTAACCATAGATGAAATATTTCAGAGTATTTTTAAAAAGTTGTGATGAACAATCAAACCACTAAGGTAGAGCATCCTTCTAGCTCTCTCGCTGTCTGTTAAAAAAACATGTGAGATTTTGGAAAAAGTGGAAAAGGCTTCCAACAAGAAGGAGTGGAGCATGCAGTAGCTTGGTGGTTAAAACACTCTCCTGAAATACAAAAGGTATGGATTCAGGTCTCCTCAGGCAGAGAAGTGTTTGTTGCCTTTTCACTTCATACTGAGCACTCTTGAGTACAGAACATGTGGGATAAGAAATTCTTTAGAGTTCTTTAAATTTTTTTCAACCAGTGCTTCATTTATTCCTTCTATTACAAATGCAAAAAAAAAGACCAAAACATCTCTAAATGCATTTGTCCTGACATTTGAAAAATGCTTTTTATTCCATGAATTTGACCAGGATTTACAAGTAGCTGTGGACACCCTAAAACTGAATTTTTCTGTGAACGTCACAGATACCGCAAGGCCTCCACGCCCTGTCTTACTAGAGTCAGCACTGTACAGTAATGAATCATGTGCCACTTTGCAAAGGAGAGTATACCCGGGGGGAATTGCTGCTTCCAGAAGATACAGTTCGGATGTCACGGCAATGTGTGCTAATCTCTCATTTTCTGTCTTTTCACTGATCTCCCCATTGAGTCTCAACTGTGGTGATGTGCAGGACCCTGGATCCTAGGTTTCCGGAAAGCGGAGAGACCAAGGTGTCCCCAGAGGCGAGCTCTGGGCTCTCGGTTCTGTCTCTTGTTCCCTTGCTGCAGCAGGCTTGTATTTTCAGAAAGTGTCGTGAGAACCTGTGTGTCAGGCTTCCCTTGGGAACTGAAAGAAAGAAAGTAAAGGTTTAAAGAAAGAAAGTAAAAATCAGGGCTTTGTGGCAATAGATAAACTGATCGGATCCTAAATTTTCCTAAGTGTAGGTGTGTTCCTGGGTCAGGCTAGACATTCCAGCCTGAAATTACGGAAATGCTCCAAGGAACTGTGGTATCAGAATGCCATAGTCACATGTTCTCCCATTCAAGTCTATAGAAAATATAGATAAGATTCAATTTAAGTTGTTTTGATCAAAGGAAATTTAGCAAAGCTTCAGGTTAAACAGGAGGGTTTCATCCCAAAATGTTAGTTTGTATATTTAATAAAAATTTATTTGCTAAGATCGAATTCTTTTAAGAGTATGAGAGATTTTACCAAATGCTAATACTGTTTTAGCTCTGTTTTTAATATTTTCTTATTTATATAAGCATAAGTAAATACCAAATATTTTACATTTCAGTGGGAAAAAAGCATGATTATAATTAAAACTCTCATGGAAGTTAGCATACAGGATATATGTTATCCTGGGACCCCTACAAATACGAATGGTACCAGTGTTTTCAGTCCAGGGGAGATTTACATTACGTACTGATTATTTGTAGAACTGGTATTAATAAATGTGGGTTTTCCTCCTAATTTTTTTTTTCTACCTTAACTAACAGAGTGGAAAAAATCTAAGTTTATTTTAAAAAGAATCAAAAATCTGAATGGTATAAACAACGAAAGCCAAAGCCAAGGGTCCTTAGTTTTAATTTAGTCTAAACTCATCAATTGGGTGAGCACCTCAGGAATTGGTCCTTGTGGTCAGATTTTCTTGAAGTGTTTGACGTCCAAGTTTGCTGACCTTCAGAAAACCCCATTTTTCTACTTTTTGTTTGATATTGAATACTTCATGTCTTTAAATATTATAAACTGCATTACAAGAGAGACTTAGAAGTCAGCCAATAAATAACCAAGTCACTGTGGTCTCCGGAGGGTAAGAAACCTTTATTACTCACCAAGCTTTCACTTGAATGGTGGTTTGCATAGCACTTCCTTGGAGACAGATTCACCAGTAAAACTTGTTGGCACCTCTGTTTTTTTTTCTAATAGATGTAAAATATGTCACCTCTTATTCTGTAAGTCATCTCTTACTCTTTGTGCTCAGTTAGCTTTTTCTTTTATGAGCTATTAAGAGGTCTCAGGAAATAATGGCAAGGATGAACCGGGGTTAGATGACAAAGGAGGGGAAAGAGACCACTGTAATGAGTACTGAAGAGAGAAGAAAAACAATGATATAGTGATAACAGTAGCTCAGGTCTGGTGTGTATGTTACGTCCTAACACAGAGTACAGCAAATGTTTTTGAGCCTATTTGGACAGGTAGGCAGATGCTGTCTGCACTGCTGTGCTTCAGTGTCAAGTCAGCAAGCATAATGTAAGGGCTGCTGTGTAGGCTGTTTAAAGCAGTTTGAGATACTTTCAAATGCAATCAGGTTGTCTGTGATTGAACTGAAAAAAATCTAAATATAAACATTTTAAATCACTCTCTCACTTCCTTCAGTATTAACTAGTTCAGAAGTCGATTGCATAGCATTTCAAGCCAATCTGGCCACTCTCTGCTGTGATCCTGATCTCACTCCTTCCTTGCTCTAGCTTCAGTGCCAATCTCCTCCTCCTCCTCATGCCACTGTGCTTTGCAGCCAGAAAGCTCCCTTTCTCTTACTGCTCTCCAGGTTCAGTGTTACATGTTGTCAGCTCTACTTGAAGCAGTATTTGAATCGCGTATACTTGAATCGTGAGCTCCAGCAGATGAGAATTGCCTTTTGCTGTTTATCTGTATAGGGCCTGTTTGGTCACAACAGACCTCAGAGTTTGGTCATGTTTTTTTGGCAGTGAACTGTAAAAACTCACTGTTTGAAGTAGTTGTTTTCTCTGAAAGATATCAGAAACAGAAGAAATTTGTTCTCTACCAAAAAGAAGTTGTAAACCATTTTAACTACATGAAAAATATGAAACTTAAAAGATTAGGATTTGAGGACCTAGAGCAAAAATTTATTAACCTAACCCCTGAAAACCAGGGCTTCAAGGAGAAATGCTGCTGCTTCCTTTATTTCTGGTAGTTTTGCTTCTTAAACATGCAAGCAAACAAACAGACAGAGTGCTGACAGCATTAGAAGATAGTGACGTTCTTTGGACCTTGAATTTTTTTCTTGTCTTTAAATCTGCTCTGAGGATGCTATGAATGATTACCCTTGCAGTAGCCTCTTGTAGTAAATCAAAATTGCTCAGCAATGAAAATTCAACCTACAACCCTCTATTTTAATTCCGAAAAAAACCCAAAAAACTCCATGCAGCATTCATATTAGTCTTTACCTATTGGATGGCTGGATCCTACTTCCAGAACTTTTCTAGTAAATATCTTATGAATATATTGACTAGTACAGAAACTTACATCTGCCAAAATCAGCATATTTTTGCTTTTGACGGTCAGATTTTAGGAGAAATGACAAACTACTTAAAACAAAATTTCCTAGTTTAAAAATTAATAAGTAACAACACTAAAATAAAAACGGTAGCAGATAGTTGTAAGAGCAACGTTTCCTCTCATTTGTACACTAAAGATAAAGTACTTTCCTCTGACATCCAGGACACTGAGTGTGAACAGCATGCCCTTTGTAAAGTAATAAAATAGCTACTTCTCTGTAATGCTGTTTGGAAGAGTTCAGATTGCACAGTAACTTCACTCCATCACAGTTGCATGGAATCAACTACAATTAAATAGTTAAAATCCATTGCCATATATGCTAAACTGTTTCATAACTCACTTGAAAAGAATAATTATTTGGAAATCTTGATAATGCTTTTTAAACTTGCTGCATTTTTGTTAAATGTGATGATTCTGAGCAGTATAATGTATTCAGTTCCACATTTTTCCTCTAATCCTATTTCAAACAGGATTTTCATTTCATGTCTCTTATTCTGTATTAAATTATTACTCTTTTCATGGAATGTGGATTCTGCTTGTATTGACACATAGCTATGCGTGTAGTTTCATCTTTTAATTCTCTCTGTTAAAAGATGGATAATTAAAAATTTTAAGAAGGTTTCATTTAAAATATTGTTCAAGAATCCAAATTGAATTCAGATAAATAAACTCTTTATGGTGATTCAGGAGTAACTTGCATTCCTATGATGGACAAAAAGGTACTATTTTCCTTAAAAGAATTCATGAAAAGGTGAGATTTAAATTACTAAAGACAGCATTACCTGAATAAAAGGAATACATACAACTTCAGGTAGGAGGTAATTCCAGCGGTACATGGGAGTTTGCAATTAGGGAGAGTTAAAACTCATCATCTTATTAAGGCAGGTGATGAAATTGTGATCAGATGAGTAATTTACTGGGCAAGGAGGGACAGACAGTGCCTTGCCTAAGTTTTGATGCAGTGAAAGTCATGGAGGAGTTGTTTCTATCGTCTACTATTTTAATTCATGAATAAGCACCTAGCCTAGTACATAGGCATTTGGCTGTGCATCTGCTATTAATCACAGTAATATAAAATTAGAATAAAACCTTTGAAAGTGGACATGATGAAAATGACTTATTGCTTTCATAGGTACATCACTTCTAACTGTAGAAGCTTGTGGACACAAATCTACAGGAGAAGACATAAAATACAGCATCTTCAATGACAAAGAAAGCATATTCTCAATACACCTCATTACAGGTACTTTTTTTTTTTTTCCCCCCAGATGTCTGTGAGTGCGGTCTCTAAAATAGAGCAAGTTCCTACCACAAGAACAAGGGGTAGATATCTTAAGAGTATTACTCTCCTTTTACAATGAATAAATCATTAGTAAAGCCAGGGATGTGGAGAGACCTGCATTATTGTAAACTCAACGTGGAAACAAATTGAACATCAGTATGCCTGTTTAAAATGCTCGGTTCTGGTTAACTATTGATCACTAGGTGTTGAGATTTAATAAACTACTACTTTTTAATCCAAGCTGAGACTCCATCTTGTTTCTTGTCTTAAAGTTGCCCCAAAACTCAATGAACATTATCCTTCAAACACTCCTAATGTAGGAAGCATTAGACCCTTGTTGAGTTTAATGCTCTTTGTTTCAGGCAAACCATGGCAAGTTTGAAAATCAAGTTTGTTTATTTTTTTGGTGATTATATTTGTGTTCTGCAGCAGATCTGCTTTCACCTGCTCTTCAGTCAGGATCTTCAGATGCCAGGAGAGCGGTGCATTCCCCCTGTGCATTTACGTGCTCTCATCTAGGGCATGTAAGAAAGCATAGCTATTCTAGTTGCCTCTCGGCTCCTAAATATCTGCAACAAAAGAGTTTGCCTTCTGAATAGCTGTAATCTTTCTGGGATGGCATAGACAGTGTGAGCAGTTTTCCTCAAAAATAGTGTCAATAGTTTGTACTCTTAACAAGTGGCTTTCTCCTTGAGTTCCTGGAGGCTTTAATCTGTGATTATTCTGATGTCTCTAGGCATCAAGTGATGTATTGCTGTAAAGCTATCATGTTTGATGCTGATTGGACAGTTATAATTATTTAATTTTGTTTAGATGAGGGGCACTTAAAAGTGCATACACTTGATTTCCAAGTCCTCCTTACTTTACTGAAATAAAACAAGAAAGTTTAATCTTAAAGAAAATCTTGGACCCAGACAAGTTTATCCCCAAGAAAGTGAATCTTCTCCAATATTACCTCCAGGGAAAAAAAAAAAATCAAATGGGATTTTCCTGGTTTTTATCTAGCCAGGCTGAAAAATGGTTACATGATGTTTTTAAGAGTCTCGTAAGCACTCTCTTCACAAACAGTAGTGGAACTTCTATAGCAGTGGATATCACAAGTCTTCTTTTGAGGTATTTGAGCCATTGCGGTTTCTTCTGTTTCCTTTATTCTGAAACCTTTCTTCTGTTTCTTAGAGAACATTAATTGAAGTGCAGCCTTTCAGGACTTTTTAAGAGCAGTTCTTACCTCAGCATTAATTTTGACACCAGTAACTCTCTACCCATGGTTTCTGCAGCAGAAGTATTTTGAGCTATATTGATGCCCTTTCTATCTTAGGTATTCTAAACAGCCAAAGGTCTGCTCTACTTGTCTTTTCAAGCATTGATGTTAATTAACTGCACTTTGGAGAAGACTTTCTTCCATTCTAGCGGGCTTTATTATATTGTAGATTCATATAAAGTATAGTAGGAAGTGACCCAAAGATACGAACTTACCTGTCCTCTGATGCAGAAGGGGAATCAAGTGTGCCAAAATCTGATAGAAGTTTATCTGTTGTGTCCTTAAAAACCACCAGTGGTAGTGATGTGGCAGACACTTTCAATAGTCTGTACAAGTCTTGGCAGTTGCAAAGCTTTTATTCATATCTATCTGAATGTTTGTTGAAACAATTTAAACTTATTACTTCTTAACCTAGTAACAATAGACATAAGACAAAGGCAAAAAACCCTATTCTTTACATATTTGAAGAGTGTTACCCTGTTTCTTCTTCATCTGCACTTCTCTAGAATGAGCAACTCTGGTTCTTTCACTTGTTCCTCCTAGATGGTGTACCTCAAACTTGATTATTTTCTCCACTCTACACTAGAGTCTTTCAGTTACTCTCTGTTGTCTTGAAGTATATTCCTTCTGCCACTGTCTATTGTGCTTTTTCTGGATAAAGAATGTGATAATTTGTAAGTGGTGTGCTGAAGAGAGGCCACCTGCCAGCTTTGAAATCTTTATGTTCAAGATGCAGTTCTTGAACATTGGACAGAGCCATAAGCAATAGCCAGTCATTGCTGCTTATCTTATAAAATAAAAACTAAAAAACACTAGCTTGGAGAGCCACAGTAGGTGGGTTCTTACGCTGTCACAGGTTTGGGATATAGGTAGTCATGGCATCATTACTGAAAAATCCATGCAAACTCAATTTGAATTCTAATGAAATTAACGTACAAATTAACTATGTTTGATGTTTAGATGTAATGAAGACTTTTGAGTATATTGCTATATTACCTAGAACATGGAAACAATCACAACACATTTCCAATAACATTTCAGGTCTAATGTGGAGATGTCTAATTGTGCTTGTCTCAATAATTTTCACTGATTATTTTTGATAGAACAACAGTTGGGGCTGGGGGTGGGGCTCACTGCATCAGGAGGAGTCCGTGTTTTATCTGCATGTCAGTCAGATACAGACATTGATACAGCTCTTGCCCAGTTTGAGTATAGATGGAGGGCTTGATGTATCTGCTCTTGGATGACGGCCAAGAGTCTCTTCAGACACAGCTGGCTGACTGTTGTGTGTCAAGGAGCACATGTCATGCAGCCACTTTCTTCCTCTTTTTCCCCCTATAGATAAATTGGCTTTGTTTTAGGAAATTTCCAACATGGTGGTTGGTCAGTGAAAAGTTAGCTCTGCAAGATTTGTACAGTAGCTAGCATGTCAGGAGTGATGTTAGGTAGAGGACATAGTGGGGATCTTGCTGGAATTCTGTCATATGTTCAGTGGAGGAGACGGTATGTGTTAGGGACTTCCTCACTGCATTTGCATGTTTTTTTTCCTGAATACACATCACATCTCAATATTGTTTTTATTTTTATTTTGATAAACCAGGTGCAATCACAGTAAAAGAGCCAAAGTTTCTTGATTATGAAGCTAAGAATAAAATACATCTTTCAGTTTTGGCTGAAAATAGCTTGGATTCAGCACTTTGTGGAGTGACAGTTTTGATACAAGATGTGAATGACAATGTTCCTAAATTTGAGCAAAGCTATTACAAAGCATCAGTATGGGAAGGCCAGAGTCCCAAAACAGACATCATACAGGTAAGCAGAAATATCTCTTCCCAAACTCAGTGCTGTAGTTAAAAAGAAGTTTGGTCGATCTGTTCATGACTACAGTCCTGCTAGGTCTGTTCTGGACCACTGTCTTGAAAACTGAGAGTGAGGTTCTTGGTGTTGCTACTACTTTTCTTGAATATCTAAAATATTCAATGATTTTTTTTTTTTCTAGACAACATTTCATATCTTTCATTTGAGTTTGTTAAGCTGAAAGAGAATTCTTTATCTTCTTAATGGTTGTGCGGCTGGACTTTAAATTATTATTTTTTTAATTTTCTGTTTCTCTCTTCAAGTAGTTGAAAAATACCATTCAAAGCTGTGGTCATGGTTACAGTGTAGACTGGGTCTTGCATTAATGCATCTACTGAAAGGGCTGTAGCAATAAAAAGAATACTTTCAACTTGTCAGACTAGAGTCAAACGCAAATGTTCAATTTAAAATCTGATGCCTAAAGAGCAGCTTGTCTCAATTTGAATGTGCAAACACTTCTTCCTCTGAATGGATCCATTCTCCAAAAATGTTTCCAGCTGGCCATGTTAGAGCAAAAGAAGACATCAGTTAGGCTAGAAGAATGCATAATTTCCTCAGTACATGTTCTTGCATTGTAAGTCAGGTCACAGCGAGGTTCATGTTAGGTACTAAAGATATTCCTCCTCGAGAGAATAAATAAATGGAAAGCTACAAATGTCTCCAGGGCAAAGTGATTAGAAACTGATGGACACTATATTTAAAGAAACATATGTCCATGAATGGAGAAAAATCAAAAGGCAGTCAACCCAGATGTCTAGTCAAAATTTTATGACAGAATACATTCTATTATGTTTCCTTTATTCAGTTTGACTGGTTGCCTGTGCTATGGTTTGGATCCCATACTCATTATGCTGCTTGTTCAGCAACCAGAAAAATACCAAGATGACTCTTCAAAGTCAGACGAGTCTTTGAGAAACCTGTTCACTGCTGTTGAATGTTATTTATTCTGTTGGTTTTATAGCTTGCCTGTGCTCTTTTTATATTTTCTGGTTCATATTTTTAAAAGTAATTAATAAACTATTCCATGAAAGCTCTGAAAACTTAATTATTTTATCCTTTGTCTGTTTGTATAGCAGTAATACTTGAAGGGTCAGTCCCAGACCCCCGAGAAAAAGCATTTTTATGCACTGAACAGGGACAGCATTCTAACATCAACCTTATGGTAATACAAGCAGTGTAAAATGATTACATTCAGTCCTAGCGCCTTACGTAGCTGAATTTCAGATTACTCAGAGAAAGAATTCATGTGCATCCTATTGCGATTCATGAGCAGATTTCGTGACCTCAGACGATACTCATGTTGGGGACCAGTATGATTATTTGCTTAAATCTGTGCAGTCGAAAGGAAAGTAACCAGAAATAGATGACTGTAATATGAGGTTTTTCTTTCTGAAATTCCATTCTACCATTTTGAACTAAGCCTCAGTTTTGCTCCCGAACAGGTATTTGCTACTGACCTTGACAGCGGGCTGAATGGAGAAACTGAATATTCAATTTTATCTGGTAATGAAGACGCAACATTTCTAATTGATTCAGCACGAGGGATTTTAGCAACTAATACAGTCCTAGATCATGAAGACACTTCATCTTACAGGTTTGTGTGCGAGGTTCTTATAAAAATGTATTATTCTTTTTGTTCACTTTAACTTGAGATTGCTCGTGTTACATATTTTGTAGTTTTCTGTTGATATCCATTACCCACAGAGCCTGGGTGCAAGCCAGACAGCATTGAGAACAGCTCTGAAGCTGCCCATTTGTACCATGGGCTCTTGCGTACTTCTCAAATGTGGGGGAAGAAATACAATCTTGTTTGATCGATGGCAACACTTACTGATATAAGTAAGCGTGATGATTCACTATAGGAATGATGGCAGTTCCTGGATTTTAGTTTATTAAGAACTGAACAGCCGTTCCTTCTCTGGAACCATTTTTTATAAATATGTAAAGACACAGAGAAAGCACTCAAATCAAATCCAAGAAACAGGGACATGTTCTGTTCTTTAATAAGAATATAGTTAAAATTTTCTTCTCCATAATCTGGTAAAGATGCTTCTGTAAGCTGTTTCCACCTATAAGCTGTCTTGTACTAAGCATTAGTTTTTTTCCTGTTTTCCAAGAAACTGTGAGTAAATATGATCAAGTGGACATGACAGTTTTTCTTTACAGTTCATGCCATAATTAGAATTACAAATCAAATAAATCATGCCTTGAAGAGAAAATACAAGTATGCGGATTCATTAATACACCCTTTTTATGTACTGCAATGTCTACAAAAAGTAGATTTCTGTCTATGTGTCAGTAGAAATTAACTTTTTTTTCTTTTCCATGTGGTTGTGGCATCAGTTAAGGTATTTGCAAGTTTTCCTATCCTCTGGGGCCTCAAAGTTTTAAATAACCAATCAGAATTCTTATGAGCCAGAATAACTCTTAGAAAACCACATAAAAAAGATCAACAGAATAGAATTTTTTTTAATATCAGTTTAATATGATAATAGTGTCCTAAAGGAAATACTTTGGTTTAACTTAATGTACAGAACACTTCATTTGGAGTTTATTTTTCAGCTTTTCACTGAATCAAAAACATCAGTTCTGATTTTTAGTCATTTAAATAGTGTAATACATTTTATTTGTAACTAGTACTTTAAAAGAATACCTTCAAAGGAAGGATGTTTACTGTTGATGAAGCATTGAACATGTAAGCATAATAATTCTCTTATCTGTCTTTAACTGGGAGCCTGATTTATTTCAGTATTTATGTTGGAATTCTAGCCTTTTAAATTGACAGTTTGAGGAATCTGAAGCTTTGTGTTCCTTCTTTTATTAATACATTATTAATCTATACATTGTTAGGTGAAAAGTGAGTAGCAAAAGAAGCTTTCAAAACTGTTTTCCTGTTTAATTTCAAAATGTTGCCATTGGTTCTTTCAGATTTGCAAGGAGTTGTTCATTTTATCTAAATTGAACATTTTCATCCCCAGAAGTTCTAAATCCCTTGTAATAGGAGTTATAATGGAAGTGTTGACAGAACCTTAATTTTAGTGCCTTAGCTGAGATGTTTTTATGAGTTTTTTCCTGAAACCTTAGAAAGTGATTATTTTTAGTAAAATATTTCCATGTGTATACCTTACCAATATTAATTCTAGAAAAAATACACTTTCTATATGGAATTCTACATGGTCACCGATTGAATACTAGTCTGCAATTCAAGTTATCTGTTCTGTCGGCATCAGAAACCACAAGGACACTCAGAGCAGAGCTGGTGTGGTTCAGGAACGGAAGTGCTGCAATCCACAGCTTGAGTTACAGCCTTGGTATTCCATATTGTCATGTAAACACTTAGGAAGTAACATCTATTTGCCACTTTAAACAGAAACTGTGACTTGGAGGAAAGAGGGAGAAATAAAGCATTCAAAGATCTGCAGGGAGACCCAGAAAACTTGTTTTGCAACATGCAAACAGTTGTTAGTACATAAAACGTTCAGTTGAGATGCCAGGCTCTGACTTGTATATCCTTTTGCATAGCTTGATTTTTTTCTCTTTGTTTTGTCTCTTCCTTTTTTTAGAGCACCTGTTGAGTTAGATTCAATTTTTAATTCCCTTCTGGGTAATTTTCAATACTGAGGAGTGGTGAAGTCTTCCAAATAATCTTTGCTTACAATAAACATTTGCTCATTATTATTCAGAAGCTAGTTTCTACAGAGAGTCAACGTCCTTTTATGTGTGTTTATCAGGTCATTACTTACCATTTTCTTTGCTACATTGTTTGTGGAAATCAAAAGATTGTTAAGAGAATCTACTACCCATCCTTATGCAGGTGTAAAATGGAAGCGTACAGGCAAACTCTCTTAATCTGACAGTGAGATTCTGATCCCACTAAAATTGGTGGAAACATTGCCATTGTCAAATGGTGCATGTATTGAGGTTTTTCACTTTATTGCTTACATTTATAATATAATAGGGGGGCTATTCTGTATCTTTGCAGACATTTTGGCTGAATATTACTTTGGATGTTTTCATATTGCCCAATTGTGACATTCCTGTTGTCCCTTTATAAACAATGAGGAAAGTCAGATTCCTCCAAAGGACCATTTAGTACTGAAGTTTTAATTCCTACTCTGAATTACCAACTGGAGAAATGTGTCTTACCCGAAAGAGTCTTGCTAGCTTGTTTAACCACCTACATTTGGTATGAAATTCAGTTAAATGAATACAGATGAATGTTTCCTTTTCTTTGTATGATTTTGTTATGTTTGTGCCACCTACAATCTCCTGGACATTTTTGCTACAAGACAAAAAATAAAACTCCAGACAGTTAACCTTCCAGAGAGAAAGATGGAGTTTGAGAGTTGCAATGAGAAACAGAAAGGGCTGATCTTTTCGTTTGTATTTTTTCCCCTGCTTATAACATTGGTGGATAATTCGATGATTTCTGACCAACAGTGACAATTACTACTCCCTTTCATTGTAGGTTGGTTGTACAAGCTGCTGATAAAGGAAACCCCAGACTTTCTGCTACAAGTATTGTGAGGATACAAGTGTTAGATGTTAATGACAATGCTCCAGTTGTCCAACCACTAGGTGAACTGAAGGTCCCAGAAAGTAAGTGTGATAGTACAGCAAAGTTTTATTAAGATGGAGATTTATCAGACGACGATAGTGCTTTTGGTGATATGTGTAACCAAGAAACTGTAGTAAAAAGGATAATGGATTAATACTGAAATATCAAAGTAAATTGTGATCTGCTTTTGTTCTCAGAGGCATTATTCTTAATCTTTAGACACTGGGTTTAAGAATAGTTTGGAACAAAACCATAGGCAATTCAGAAAGAGGAAAACAAACTCTGCAGAAATACATCTGTAAACTGTTCATTTTGGACTCCAGTGTCGTATTCTTCAGATGTCTTCAATTTCTGCATTTTTGCAATAAAAATACTTGGTGTTAAAATCATCATTGCTAGAAATGAAACATTTTGAATTTCATTGTGATGAAAGAAATAATTTCTGTAAATTTGAGTGAAGGGTTAAAATGCTCTATAGCTTGCTCCAGTTGATTATCATGAAGAGGATGACCCAGGACCTCCTGAGTCCTCATCCCAGCATACATCTGGTATGTTGTATGACAGTAGCTCAGCATTTGCAGACCTTGAGTCTTAAGCCCAGCATTTTCAAATACAGGCATCATACATGTGATGCATTAAGATACACAGCAGAAAATTTATGAAGATTTTAGGTGCTGAAATTCCAGCACTCTTGTTAACAAAAGATATTAAGGCTGTCTTTCTAGTGATATTTTTTAGCCTTTCCTGAATTTAGCTCCCACTGGTAATGACAAGTGTGGGAGTCACGGATGCACAGCAGCTGTGAACTACTGGCTACTTGCTTAGGTTTTTGTATTCCATTTAAGAACACTTGCTTTAGGACATTGCACACCATTGTTGAGGCTTAATACCCCGGGCATGCAAATGGGAAATGATTTAGTTTCTGTTAGCTCCAGGCTTTAAGATGATTGCTAATAGGTTCAGTTTGCAATCCCTGGTACTGTCAATTTGGCACATGACTAAAGCTGTCACAGGACTCACAGGACTATGCCATGAGCTCTTAAGACTTTTGTGATATGTAGGTCTGGCTGAAGGTCTTGTTTCTCTCTAGTGGCCTTCTCCTTTGGAAAAACTTCAGAATTATATTTGCTGGTTATACACAGACCAGGGGACTCTGATGCCTCAATTAAATATTCTTGTGGAAGCTTGTGACACTATTCAGTAAATTCATGTCACCTAAATGCTTGTGGAAAACCATGGAAGTTCCTGTTGCTAGTGAAGAAACAGTTATGGCAACACTGGATCTGGGAAAGTCTAAAGAAAACCTGAATTAAAATTGGGATAAAGCAGATGCATTTGAAGAAATGCACTACTGTTTCCATAGCATTTCTGGATATTGCTCTTATTCTAAAACACAAAGTTAAAATACACCAAAAGCTAATACAAAAAGATTACATGTTAAGATTGAATATTACAAAATTGGCAAAATCTTCAGAAATTGTAACATCATCTTTTAGCTATGACTTATTCTGAAAATTATTGTTTCAGATGCCCTGCCTGGTTTTATAGTGACTCGGGTGCCAGCAAGTGATGCGGACTCCAGGCCAGCACTTCAGTTTGGTTTTATTTATGATAATAGTCCTAGAATGAAGTTTGCCATTGATCAACACACCGGTGTAGTCACAGTGGTGGAACCATTAGATTTTGAAGAAACTGCTGTGTATAAGCTGAGAATCATAGTTTCAGATTCTGTACATCAAACAGAAGCAGAACTCACCATCCTTGTTTTGGATGTCAATGATAACCCGCCAGTGTTTACTCAGGATTCATATCAGGTGGGAACATGGCAAATGGACAACAAACATGTGATGTCTTTCCGTATATGATGATAAATACTAGGAGTGCTTGTTTATATATATTTGTCTTTAAAATGCATTTGAGCACTGAGAAGGAAGGTCTCTGCAAACTATTACTGAGCAGAAACAGAGCAGAGCTCTTCTGGGAAACCCCAGCCCCTTCCTCAGAATTCTGCTAAAAGGACTGAGGGGATTGTTCAGTTTTCATGTTTGTGGTTTCTGACTTCAGAAGGAGAGTGGTGTGAATGCTAGCTGTACTCCATACACCTTGCATCCATCACTAGCATATAATCCAAACTAGGCTGGGGAGCAGGGTCCAGTGTTCAGAACATCCTTCTTCTGGGAGAATGGTAAACAAGTTGGTACATTTATTCTGGCCCCATTACTATGGCATGAATTTCTGCATTGTCAGTTACACAGCTCCACAGAGGTGTAGCAAATGCCCCTGTGGTGGGTTATGCATATATAGTTTGACCCTGCCTTATAGCAATGGCACTCATCTAGGGAGTGAGGCATATGAGTTTTGACCTCCCCAACATCCCCTACTAGACTGAGGGTACAGTCTAGTACCCTCTACACTAGGGTCTAGTCTGGAAGGAGGTTCTAGACAGGAAATCTTAGGAAATTCTCAGGAATTTCCTGTAATTTTTACCCTTCTATTGTCCTTTGAAGTATTTTCATATTTATACTTTTGATATATAGCTTAATATATACGGCTATTATATAAATACAATCTCTCTGTTAAAATGATTTAATCTAACTTCAGCAGTTCTGATGAAAGTAGCTGCTGTATCATACTGTTCATTTGAAATTGGATTTATAAAGTGGAAAGAAACTTTGGTCACAAAAGTACTGTATCTGGACTTCAAATAATGGAAGCCCTTAAGAAGGGAAAGAACTTTCTCGGTTTGCTAGATTATATAAACAAAAAAGGGAGCATTTTGGAAAAGTAAGGTCTAGGAATAATCCAGTGATGATTAAGTGCTCTGGTGCTGGAATTTTCAGGATACATGTTTTGGGTTTTTTAATGATCAACTATATACTCCGGATGGGGACTGCAGACTGTATTCCATGTACAAAAATAAACGTGTTTGTGAAAGCAGGGAGAAAAGCCAATTTTAGTTGCAATCCATTGTAGTTATTCCTTCCGTTAGTGTACTATTGAAAAAAGAGATTCAGTGATTCTCTGAACTCATTGTCATAATGAACTAGAACTAGATGGATTTTGCTAGTGTTTAAAATTTACTATAAATTTTGGCTGTATTGTATGCATTGTTTTCAATATCTTGATTTTTTTATAGTTTTGTCCCAGAAGAAAACGGGTAGGTGAAACCTTTTCCAAAGCTGGGAACTCGGTTTTTTTCTGATAAGATCAAATGAAGGAAAATGTAGTTTTTATGTTCAAAACCTTTTATTAAGCTCTGTCAAAACTGTAATTTTGCTTTGTATATCAGGTGAGCTTACCAGAGCTAATTTCTATGGATGCCACTGTCCTGACAGTCTCTGCTGTGGATAGGGATTCGGAGCATAATGGAATGATTTCCTACAAAATTCTCTCTTCCTCTGAGGGATTTTCCATTGATCATAAGAATGGTGAGTCTGTAAGCATGGTTTATTACTTCAGCTTTTTCAGTGTAAATTAAAGAGTCCTGTTGCACTGCCTCACCTGTTGACACTGATCACTTGAGTTCTGGAAATCTTTGGTGGCCAAGTACCACCACCAATGGTGGCAAGTACCACCATTTAGGAGGCGTTTGTTCACAGAGGGGGTCATTAGGCATTGGAATGGGCTGCCCAGGGAGGTGGTGGTGTCCCCATCCCTGGAGGTGTTTAAGAAGAGACTGGAGGTGGCACTTGGTCTAGTTGACATGGAGGCGTTAGGGCAAAGGTCGGACTCGATGATCCCAGAGGTCTCTTCCAACCAAACCGATTCTGTGATTCTGTGGTTTGGGTAAATCTGCCATTATCACTGAAGAACTGATTGCATCAAAGACTGGAGTTCTGAATTTGTCCCTGAACTGTGCACGAGGCAGCTAGTTACAACATCCTATAGGTGCTATTCCTCTGATCAGATTTGATAGAAAAGTTGCTGTACATTTTGCATTGATTCATAACATTTCAGCTCATGTATCAGACTTCATTCAATTTAAGTTCATACTGTTTTTCTGTACAAGTTGAACCTATCATAATGGAGCTTCTCTACAGCTTGGGCAGTATGTTTTTAAGATTGCTTCTTTAGAGAGATTATCTTATCCTGTAATCCTAAATGGAATTTAAAAGTTTTCTAAATTGAGAACACTCTCTCCAAGCTACATAATTTTCTTCAGTAGTTAAGAGATTTACTGATTTAAATTTTCTGGCCTAATGTTGTGACACTGAGAGGTGGAAAACTGTGTGTGCCTCTCTTTGTATGCATGTGTACCTAAGATTTTTGGGAATATCAGCTTCAGAGATTACGGCAAAAATGATGCACAGCTACTGTTCAGTGATCAAGTTCTTATTGCTTACTTGCTGTTCCCAGCTGTTTATATGAGGTGAATTTTTGAATGCAGTGTTTGTTGAGTGATGGTAACTACAAACACTGAACATACAAATGTCTCACCCAGTTAAAGCTGTATTCTTTTTTAGCCATTTGTTACTCTGTATTCACCAGCCTGTCTTTATGTTTGACTAGTGGCTGTTTTTCAACTGATCAGAAAATTGTCACAACAGTGTTGTCTCTGTGGTGCTTAGCTATACCCCATGAAGAGTGAAGTAGAAGAAAATAGCTTATGAACAGAGTCATTGAATGATTTGAGTTGGAAGAGACCCTTCAAGATCATCTAGTCCAACCCCCATGTTTAGACAAGCAATTTGAATGAAACATGTTTATGTAACTTACTGGCAAACCTATCTAAAATCAAACAAGCCTGTAATGCTGTTACTGGATTGCAAGCAAAACAGAAGAGCTAATGACCTTCAGTAATGAACTCGCACAGCATAGCCACTTCTGATAAGGAGCCTCTATTTCCTTAGCTTTGTTTTGCCTTTTATTTTATGCAGTTTGCATGTTCAGCCTGTTATTAGCAAAAGAAATTTTCAGTGGTCTAAATGCAGTATGTGTATTTGATACTCTGTCATTGTGGGTAGGCCTTTGCTTTGCAGCATTAGCTATGATTTCTTAGAATCATAGAATAGTTTGGGTTGGAAGGGACCTTTAAAGGCCATCTGGTCCAACCCCCCTGCAATGAGCAGGGACATCTTCAACTGGATCACGTTGCTCAGAACCCCATCCAGCCTGGCCTGGAATGTTTCCAGGGATGAGGCATCTACCACCTCTCTTGGTAATCTATGCCAGTGTTTCACCACCCTCAGTGTAAAAAAATGTCTTCCTTATATCTAGTCTGAATCTACAGTCTTTTAGTTTAAAACCATTACCCCTTGTCCTGTTGTAACAGGCCTTGCTAAAAAGTCTGTTCCCATCTTTCTTATAAGCCTCCTTTAAGTATTGAAAGGCTGCTCTAAGGTCTCCATGGAGCATTCTCTTCTCCAGGCTGAACAACCCCAACTCTCTCAGCCTGTCCTCACAGGAGAGGTGCTCCAGCCCTCGGATCATCTTCGTGGCCAGTGCTCGGACAGGTCCATGTCCTTCTTGTGCCGAGGACCCCAGAGCTGAAGGCAGTACTGCAGGGGGTCTCATCAGAGCGGAGCAGAGGGGCAGAATCCCCTCCCTCGACCTGCTGGCCACTCTGCTTTGGATGCAGCCCAGAATATGGTTGGCTTTCTGGGCTGCGAGTGCACATTGCCTGGTTATGTCCAGCTTTTCATCCACCAGTACCCCCAAGTCCTTCTCAGCAGGGCTGCTCCCAATCCATTCATCCCCCAGCCAGTACTGATAGCAGAGGTTGCCCTGACTCGGGTGCAGGACCTTTCACTTGGCCTTGTTGAACCTCATGAGGTTCACATGGGCCCACCTCTGAAGCCTGTCCAGGTCCCTCTGGATGACATCCAGTCCCTCAGGCCTGTTAGCCACACCAGTCAGCTTGGTGTCATCTGCAAACTTGCTGAAGGTGCACTTGATCCCACTGTCCACGTCACTGATGAAGATACAAACAGTACTGGTCCCAGTACAGACCCCTAAGGGACACCACTCATCACTGATCTCTACCCAGGCATTGAGCTGTTGACCACTACTCTCTGGAGACAAGAGAATTACTTTGGGGTGTGTGACCATTACAGTTGAGTCATTTTCAAATACGACTGATTAGATTCAGCTTTTGGAATCACGTTTACTTGCCTTAGTGAATGTGAAGTCTGGGCTTTTGTTAATTCTGTCTTATTTTCAGGTTCAGTGTTCGCTACGGGACCAGTGACACAGCTGGAAAAGGTTTCCATTATTCAGCTCCTGATAGAAGCCACGGATGGTGGCAGTCCCACTCGGAGTGCAGTTACCTCCGTAGAGGTGCGCATAGAAGATGTAAATAACTATGCCCCTCAGTTCACAAGGGTTCTGTACAATCTCAGCGTGAACGAGGATACCTCAGTTGGAGAAAGTGTGCTCACGTTTTCAGCCATCGACTATGATTGGACACATGAAAACACATATATTGAATACTCTATTATTGATGGTAATGCTGAGAATTTATTCTCCGTGGAAACAAGTGTTGTGAAGCCAGAAACATCCTACAGACTTGTTGGCCGTCTTGTTTTGAGCAATGTTCTCGACAGGGAAACGGCTGCTTCTCACCGTTTGGTTCTCCTTGCATCTGATCGTGGAACGCCGTCCTTGAATTCAACTGCTACTGTGCTAATAACTGTGCTGGATGTTAATGATAATCCTCCAGTATTTAGCAGCCCAGAGTACCATATTCATGTCAAAGAAAGCATCCCTGTAGGTAGTCACCTCACCGAAGTTTCTGCAAATGACTGCGATGCAGGCACTAACGCAGAGATCACTTACGCTATCATCTCTGGAAATGACAGGGGACATTTTCGTTTGGATGGGAAAACGGGATCAGTGGATTTGATGAAGACACTGGATTATGAGGATACCATTAAATTCACTTTGATCATCCAAGCCACAGATGGAGGAGCTGATGTAAAAAATGTGGCTTTTTCTGTTGTTCTTGTTAGTGTCCTAGATGACAACGATTATGCCCCACTGTTTTTGTTTCCCAGCCTGAGCTGCACTGTCAGTGAAAATCTGCCTACCTTTTCTTTTGTGTGCGCTGTTAGTGCGCTGGATTTTGATAAAGGCTCCTATGGACACCTTACCTACTCCATCCAGTCTTCGTGTTTGGCTCATCATGAAGCGCCTAGAGACCATGACATGTTCTTCATTGATCCTTTGACAGGAGATATCCATACAAAGCAAATGTTTGACTATGAAAGTCAGAATAGGTACTGTCTCATAATCCAAGCAAAAGACAAAGGTGACTCACTGGGTACTGTTACAGTTCAGGTAGATATTGAGGGGGGAGATGAATTTGACCCAGTGTTTACACAAGATCAGTATTTCTTTAATCTCCCTGAGAAGAACGAAGCAGGCCAGTTGCTTGGCAGAGTGGCAGCATCAGACGGCGATAGTGGACTGGACGGAGTTGTTCATTACTCCCTACTAAAAACTTCTCCATTCTTTTATGTGAATCAAACCAGTGGTAATATTTATTTGACTCAGACTGTTCACAGAAAGAAAAATGGCAGCAAAAGGAGTGATGATACCCTGGAATTGTTGGTAAGAGCTCACAGCCCCAAAATTGAGTCAAAGTTCACAATATGCACCGTTTTGGTGAATGTTTCCAACTCTCCTGAGAGTTATCCCACAGTGTCAGCATACAGCCTGACCATTAGCATTTCCATCTCCTTGATAGTGTTCCTACTGCTTGCCGTCAGTCTTACTGCACTTACTCTGAGACATAAGCGGAAAGATCTGATGAACTCCTGTGTGAAAAAAGAAGCAGTATCCTCCTTAGCTACTGATGTGAATTCAGCCAGCGAAGATAAGGACAGCCAGAAAATCCAAAGTACTGAGAGCAGTATGCTTCCCATGGGTGCCATAGCAGAATGGCTGAGCCTAGCAGGAATCGGAGAGGGGAAGGATGATGATGTCCCCTGCAGACATTCAGACTCCAGTGGCCATGGTTCTGCCGAAGGAGAAACTGCAGAGGATGAGGAAATCAAAAGATTCAATGAGCATCCTTGCAGAAAGAACGCTGGCTCAGTGCTGAGTGAGTGTGGCTCATGGGTGCCGGATTCAGGGATCCCAAGAGAGCCTGATCAACTCTCCTGTCAGTCTGGAGAAACAGAGGTCTTGACTACCACACAAAGCGTGGAGAGCGTGCAGGCCATTAAAGGAGAAGGCAGAGAAGAAGCCTGTGACACAGCCTACACACATAAAATGTTGTCTCAAACACTTAAGAAAATTGGAATAAAAGAGCAAGACATAATGACAGACCTCACAAGAGAGTGTGTCTTGATGTCAAGTAGGCAGGACTCGGGGTGTGATTCGCTTGCAACCTTTGACACCTCTGATGAGGATCTCAGAGGTGGTGATAACTGGGATTATGTGCTCAGCTGGGAACCCAGATTTGAACTTCTTGCCTCAGTGTTTAATGACATTGCAAAACTGAAAGATGAAAACGTACACATTCATAGCTTCCCTAAGGAGAAGAAAACTCTTGTTTTCCCTCCTCCCTTGATAACATCAGTAGCTCAGCCTGGCGTAAGGACAGTGCCACCACGAATGCCAAATATCGTATCAGGGCAACCATTTAAAAAATACCCTCGTTCTCCCCTTATCCATAACCTTGGATACCCTCCACCAACCATGACGCCCAGTTTTTCTCCTTCTCTCTCTTTGCTTACCATGCAGACGCCTACTGCTTCTCCAGTAATGTCTGATGGGAAAATGATAGGAACATGTCTTATTGATCCAAGCCATGAACTTGCAACAGAGGAGGAAATTCAGGTCTAGGTTATTAATTGACAGTACTTTATGGTAAAAAAATATCACTTAAAATGTATTTTGTTGTTGTTTAACAAGCAAAATATGCCTGTCAGAACTATATTGTGAGTGTTCTTTCTCTTTTTGTGAGCTGAAAAAGTTAAGATATAAAATAGATACAAACTTGGCAACTATCCATCTTGTTCTTCCCAGAATACGTGGTGAGGCCAAAAGACTTCTCCTCTTTCAGCTCCAACAACTGTGGTTTCCTATGTAAATCATGCAGCCAGGTGCCTGACAACCAACTTGACCAGTTTTACTGTTTTTTCTCATAAAATATGTCAATAGCAAATAAATGGTAGTAATTCTTTACTGTGGGAAAACTTTATTAGCGTGCTGGTGGCTTCTGACCGCTTCTGTGGTGGTATTAGAAAAGGGTACTAGAAGGATGTGTAAGTACAGCAGGATTGGGGGTGGGCAAAGAATAAAGCAAGGATTCCTGTTGAGCTCTTTCTCGAGTGTTTGCCCAGACTTCCCCCATCTCAGCCCCTGGGTCCCAGCAACCTCTTGGGCCTGGTGCAGTTTCACCATCTGCCATGGCTCCCTGGTGGGCTTTATTAGCTGTCTTTGTGCTGGGGAATCCCGTGTTGGCAGTGTCTGTGCACCTTGCGTTTATCTCCTGGTGGAAAGCCTGCGAGTCATGATGATCTGACTAATAACGGATCACCTCTGGAAAACAGGATAACCAGTGGTAAGATAACCTCAACTATCTTCTCTATTACTAGATCTAAAATAGATACCTGTTGTCTTTCTGTCCTGTCACAGAAGCTGTCCTGGTCCCTAGGCAACTGTAGGAACATACCGTATTACAGTTCTGAAGGGTGGGTATGCCTCCACTGGGCATAATTCTGCAAGACCAGATAATCTGGCCTTGCTTGTTGTGTGCATCATACATATGGCATTTCGTGTATGTGTGTATATCCGGACACATAGACATGCCTGTACTGCTGTGTATGCTTGCATATTGTATTGGATCAATAAAATACACAGAAAATACATCTAGAGTAACTGGTTTCTCTTCAGTGTATGTTTAAGTCTTTTGCATCATGTGTATTAAAACTGGGCTATAGGGAAGGGTCTAATTGGTGCCTGGGAATCTGTTACCAGTTGGATGTGTGCAGAGGTGTATATTGTACAGGTCATAACAGGTGGAGGAAAAGCATAGAGTGAGGTTAGACTGAGGGATCTTGTGGGATCAGCATGATGTGTTCAGTGGCTTTTGTCGTTTCCTCAGTCATGCATGTCAAGATCTGCAGCCTGTGGGCTCGTAACCTGTCTTTGAATGGGATCCTGTTTCTAAGGCTACACCTGCACTGTACTACCAGGCAACAGGATCCACGCTGCCGTGCTACGCAAGAGTACTGCTTTTAAAGCTGGCATTTGTTCTTTGTGCTGCCTTGGACTATGAAATGAGACATAGCTTAGGAATTCATTGGGACAGACCAGAGAAAAACCTGTGTCAGGAAGAGGAAAGCAAAGAGGAGTCATTCCCAATTTGTATCTGAACATGGAGGTTTGGTTTAACGCCATTATTTCAGAAAGAGTATTATTGTCCACCTGTTAAATTTATGCTGTCTACAGCCTGCTTGGTTTTGACTTAGATGTCTTAACTTGTGAAGCAATTTCTAATACAGTGAAAGATGTTAGTTGTGGTGTTCAGTTCTGTGCGGTTATAGTTTCAGGAGGCACACATGGCACACAAAACTACATTTTCTATATAGTCAACAGCTTAGCTAATTCGATTTTAGTTTTGGGTGGTGATGGTCAAGTGGCAGCGATTGCTCTGAGGAGCAATGAGCACATGCTGTCCTGATAGCGGTCATCTTTCCAGTGGGTGATCGGTGGAAGAATAAATGCTTTACCCAGCAAAACTCTGATCTTTTAGCTTGGGTAAGAAGTGGTAGCTAGGGCCTCATTTCATGTATAGAGTTGAGGCTAATGGGTGAGTAGCTTTTTCTTCACTAATATTGCTGTTGCAAATGGAATACTATGAGCATTAGAAATCATTAGAAAGCATTCAGTCATATTTAGCACAAGATTTGGAGCTCACCATGCTAATGTGTTCCCACTTCCTATAACTCTGCTTGAAAAGTGAGAAAACCCTGTTTTGGTTTGTGCCCTTTTTTTGCTCCTTCAGATGCAGCTTGTTTTCAATGCCTTTCTGAAAAGATTAGATATGATTTGCATCCTCTTTATGAAGTGCACAATATAACCAGTGCATACTTTGTGCTCCCCTTAAGCGTTACAGCAACCCTTTCCTTGTCTCTTATGTCTTTGTTCGTCCCCGGTAAAAGAGGAAACAACACTTAGCTGATACCTTGCTGCTTCGTATATAGCCAAGCTTAAGAATGTGACCATTGGAACAAGTGTCTGCAATAAATCATGTGTAGTTCTTTTAACATTACTGGTTTTTTCCCCCTAAGTAAACAGTATAACTTCTGTAATTTACCATGAGTTTAATATTAGCTTGCCTCGAAGAGGCTGTGTTACTTTGCAATTCTGCACACCAGTTTTAGCACTTTGGAGAAGGTACAGAACTTGTTAGTGGAAAATCATATTAAGCTCAAAATGCATAAGCTATAAAATAAAAGACAGTTGTCTCTTCTGGAATTTTGGCTGCCTGCCTTCTGGATTTGCTTGTTGGCAGCCTTGAAAATAGTGGTGTAAATCACTACCAAATGGATATCAAAATTCCGTCTACCAGTAGTAATCATTAAATTGACGTTCAAGCAGATTCCTGTGCAAAGAATAAAAACCTTCATATTTTTAGAGAATCCATCATTTATGGATTATAAAAATATATATACCTATTTTCTAAAATGATACTAAAAACACTAGTTACCTACACAAGCCCGTATTTAGTTTGTATTTTATCTTCAGCTGAAGACAGGAATTGTTCCTAAAGCAATTTTAGATTAAAAATAGTTCTGATAAAAATGGACCCTTGTTGCTAAGTATATTGCACTGCTGATTCTTACTATCATTTACATTTGGTTGCCATCAATTCTCTGTGCTGTATGTCACTTGTTTTCTTTAACTGATGCGTAGCTTCCTGGAGGACTATGTTCAGCTCTTCTCTTTGGGAGACCTATAAGCCAAAAAAATGTTGCCAGAACATCAGCTAGCACCAGACTGACAATTGTGCCTGTGTGGCTTTATACTTCTACAGCGCATGGAGTCGAAGGCCAATTGGCAATCCAGTTGGCCATCGTAGGCATGCGGGGCCATTGGGATTAGACCTCTTCCCAGTGCATGCTGGCCACATCGTTCCTTGAAAACCAGCCCCTGGGGGTGAAGGACACAAAGGAATCCTTGCAGGGAGAGAACTGGCTCTGGTTGGCTGGGAATGGAGGGTGGTGTTCCCTAAAATCCTGTAAAGATGCTAATTGGAATAGGAGGCAGTTGCGACTTTGTAATTCAATATACTGTGGTGGGAAGTTTATATTTAGAATTTGGCTTACTTTGCAAGTCAAATGGCTTTGCAGCTTCTTGCTCATAGTATCTGGCATGACAGAACCAACTGACTATGGCAGTATGTGGCTTAGTTCCCTGTAGATGATCTGGTTGGAATAACTAAGGTGTTGCAGAATCAAATTGAGCGTACTTTTGGGGGTTGCATAGCTGCTAGCTCTGCTAGCTGTTCACTAGCACATATACAAAGCCTAATGTGTATTCAATCTGTATATGGACTTGGATGTTCAGATGTCATTAAAAAGGGCTGCAGTCTGGCATCCAGATCCTCTTGGTGGCTTTGAAAATTCCACCGTAAATACATACAACATTTTTAAAACATTGGAAAAAATGTGGATGCCTAAGCAAAAGAAAAGGGGCCTTATAGAGAGGAAAACTGAGGATCTAAAACTTTCTGGTTTAGACTTGACATTGCTGCTAGGGCTATTCCTCGTAAAATGTCAGATGCTTTTCTTCTAAAATGTATAAAACCTAGTAGAAGAGCATCTGTAAGGCACACAGAGAGGCACAAGGGTAGGCCAGAACTGCAAAATGGTTCTGTTTCTTGACACGCGTGAGTTACTTGAGCAATGTGGAAAATACCAAATCCTTCAGCTGGTGATAATCTCAGAAATAAAAATTGTGGCCCCATTATGGTATAAATGTTTGACTGACCCAAACAAGTCCTGTGCCAGATGAAGCATTAGATGCAAAACCACATGCCTGAAAATACAGGTATCATGGTAAAGGACTGCAGTAATCCACCATGGTGTTCAAAACATCAGTTGAAAAATCTCATTACAATTGGAAAACTTAAATTTCTTGAACATCATGTTCAAAACAAAGAATTGCCGCCCTACAAACTACACTTAAAACTGTCAACCATGTCCATGTTACCTTGAAAGTAATCTTGTTTAACACTTTTTTTTTTTTTTTTAAGCTTAGATTATTGAACACAATCCTGGTCGCCTTCCCTAAAACTGCATGTTAAATGCCTATGAAAAGCTCTCAGAAAATAGAAGTTGAGCTGTTGATTGTGAGAGCTGGTCGACCAACAGTAGCTGTTCTATAAAGGTGACATTTGAGAATGGATGGGGCTAGATGATGCCTATTTGCTAGCCCAATCTGGAGGAATACCTTGCTGTTACTCATAAATGCCTACAGCATTTCCCTGAAAACTTTCAAATGGGAAATTGGGAAGAGTTTCTAAAATGGTGTTACTGCTACCATAACCAAAAGAAATGAGTAGCAAGTCAAGCTTGCTTGCGTTGACCTCAGAAATTCCTGTCTCGAGCCCCGTCTAGCTGGGTGTAGACTCATTTCCAGCATCTCCCTTTTAACAAACTGTAGGGTTCATTTAATTTCAAAGGGTTTGAAAATACTGGGTTCTGATCCAACACCCCAAGACTTCTTCCACTCATTTCAGTGGGACTTGAGTGAAAAACGCACCTGGAAGGAATGGACAACATGTGTGCCTCCCTGGTTCTGTAACAAGAGTCACTGGCAGCAGAGAGCTGGCT